CGTTGCTGGTCTGCTGCTTGCTGTTCGCCGGCAGGGGGTGGGGGGGTAAATAGCCAGCACGACACCTCTTTAACACGAGTGTGCCGTGCTACAGCATTGTGTACACTCTATGGCGAGTGTGTTAGCAGGGTGCTTACGCATGCGCATGGCCCAGCAGCCACCTGGGTTCAAACCCCAGCAGCAGCAGTTGCATCCCGGATCTTGATAATATAAATTCGGGAGCGGGGCGGGGCGGGCCAGCGTGGGCGCGCACGCGCATGCGGCACCTCCCTTTTTCGCCACGTGTCGCCTGCAGCATGCGCCACTTTTCTCCCTCGTTTTCGCTGCGAAATACCCGAAAAACACCGAAAAAAACCGTTGTCGGGTTTTGCTGCTTTTCCGCCTGTGCGGGTTGCTGCCCAGCTGTACGGGGTGGTGGGAGGGAGCGGGGACCGTTCACGCTCTGATACCAATGTAGCGGACCCACCAGGTATGGTGCTCCGCTAGTGGTAGAGATGGAGATGGAGGAAGAAGGGGGAGCAAGATGACGCACAGCGCAGCTCCCACGTAGGACTCCAACGCACGTACTCCAAAAATGTGCAAGTGAAGAATGAGGGTGAAAACAGACAATGGCTGGGGTATACCCCAGCGGACTTACGGGACTGGACTGGACTGGCTGGTACCGACAGAGGTACCGGCCTGGACTGGCCTACCCCAAATACAACACAGGCCTGTGAGAACAGGCCAAGGGGCTGGTCTCACAGGCCAACCCGAGGTCCGCTACAGCACGTCCACAACGCACTCGTCGACGCCCTCGGCGTCTTGACGATTGACACTCTCATCACTTAACTATCTCCTACCACTAACTCACACTATCGTGTACTCCATCATTAGCTTCTTCGGGATGTGAGCGTTTTGCGGCTCTGCTTCAACATCGACTCGACTCCTACTTTGGTCGACCCTGCATGGTGTCTTCCTTTTGTCGAGCATTACCTGCACTGATGGTCTATCTGTTAGGGTCATTGGTTTTGTTTCGCTACCACTCCCTCACCTTGCGCCTGATGACCTATCCCATCTTCGTGTGTGACTGCCCTTCGGAGTTTCGATTCTTAGGCTGCATTCACCCCCTTTGAGACCATCCCACTCTTTGTGGTTCAGCGACACGACATTATCTTGTGACATATTGCTATATTTTCCTTTCAGCATTGAGGCAATTGCCTCTAGGACTTCAGAATTGTACCCTGCTACATTTCATTTCCTGCTGTTAGCTAGGATGTGTATATCAAACATTTGCTTTTGCTCTGACATTATGTAGCTTAGGCTGCATTGCATGGACTCCGCATGGAGCTTGCTCCATATCCTAGATTTCTCAGTTTTATTGTTGCAGAGTTCTGCTGCCTTTGCGGAAGCGTGTTTATGGCTCTCGCGATCCACTACAGGTTTGAGGATCGTGCCGCGTGCCTCTAGCTGCGCTGGCCTAGAGCAAGGGCTATCTAGCTATTTTGCCTATTCGGCCCTGTGGGACCAAGCTGTGGCCTGACCCCACAGGCTGTGTCCTCATTCAGTCCAGTCCAGTCCTGCCCGGTGTCACTGTGGGTACCAGGCCAGTCCAGTCCAGTCCAGTCAGTCCCCTGGGGGTATACCCTAGCTGCAGTCCGTTTTCAGCATCATTCTTCATTTGCACAGTATGGAGTGCATGTGTGTTGAGTCTGCGTTGGAGTTGCGCTGTCCCTTCCAGCTCCATCTCCATCTCTCCCATCCTCATCCCTTTGTCTTGATTCGGACGGACCGCCACCCCGGCAGGTCCGTCACACCCCTTGATGAAGGGGGGGGGGGGGGGAACAAGACAGGAAAAAAAGATAACAACTGGCCGGAGCAGTAAAGCTAAAAAAGGGGATTGTAGCAGGGACAAAGAGTTTTTTTTTTTTTTTTTTTTTTTTTTGCCCCTTCCCTTCGTTTGCATTGAGAGGTCCAGGCATGAGGTGGGAAAAGGACTCAGGAGGAGGGCTGTCGATGGATAAAAGGGCCAGGAGGACAAGACATTGGGCCTGTATTGTGGCCAGATACATTTCGATTGATCCAACATTGTGAATGTATCAGGACAAGTAAGTACCATGTTTACATATGAAAAAAGAGAAAAGATATGCATTAAACAAAAATTACCCCCCCCCCCAAAAAAAGGCAGTAAACTTCATATATGTACATAGCTTTTCATATACTCTTCTGAGAACTTGTAGCAGACCACAAACACTATTTAAACACACTGGAAAAAAAAAAAAAAAAAAAAAAAGCAGTAATTTCAAACGTACATGGCGTTTCACATTTTGTTTTGACAACTGTTTTTTTTTTTTTTTTCTTTCTATATTCTTCTCTCAACTTCTGTTTYTTTACCTTCCACTACCTWCTCCTAAGGYTARCAGAMCATCAATTACTAAAACATAAAAWAAAAWTAAAAAAAAAAAAAAAAAAAAAAAAACCAGCAGTAACCTTGAATAATACGTACATGGCGTTTCATGTCTTCCGACAATTTGTAGCCCACCAGGAACAGCGTGAAGCTAATCATCTTGCAGATCCCTTTCTTGTCCATTCCCAGCTCCATCAAAAACTCCAGAAGAAGCCGCAGGTTTTGCAATGAGCACCTTTCACACATCTCCATAGCAAACCTCTTCTCCCTTATTTCTCTCTCTTTGGCCTCCGTCATCCCAAATCCCCGAAGATAAGCCAGATTCGCTTCCAGACCTTCGTTGACCACCGAGCGGTCTCGATTCAGTGAACCTTTCCGTCGCCCTCTAGTCTTAACGCCGTCAAGTCGATCAGACAGAGAGACACGTGGCAGCTGCACACTCCATCCAGTCACCTTCCTAAACTCCTCCTCCTCCTCCTCCAACACCTGCTCCTCCTCCTCCCCCCCCTCCTCTCTTCCCGCCTTCTCTGCGAACACCTTTCCCCCTACACTACTACTACCATTCACCCCAACCGGTTCACCTTTGCCTAATCTAGTCGCAACCTCCTCCTTCTCCTCCTCCTCTTCCTCCTCCTTCTCCTCCTCCTCCTGCTGTCTTATCCTATTCCCTGCGAGCACCTTTTCCCCTACACTACTGCTCTCATCCTCCCCTACCCGTCCCCCCCTCCCTTCTCTACTCCCAACCTCCTCCTCCTCCTCATTCTCTCTCAACTTCACAATATCTATCCGATCCCGATCCCGATCCCGATCCCGACCCCGACCAATCACGGCCGGTAGATCATTCCTTTCAGTGCGCGCGCGCGCTTCCTCCTTTCTATCCCCAGCTTCAAACTTCTCCTCCTCCTCCTCCTCCCTCCTCTCCTCCTCCTCCCTCCTCTTCTCCATCTGAGTCAGACTAGGCAGCTCCTGCATTCCTCCTCCTCCTCCTCCTCCTGCTCCTCCTCCTCCTTCAGCTATGCAGGTCCGGGTCCCGACGCAAATGTGTCTTTGCCATGTTACCCCTCGCCTGTCCAATCTGCCACGTGGCAGCGAACTTGAGTGCGTCGGGATCCGAAGCTGCAAATGTGCGCACTCGATGCACACCCTCTCTCTCTCTTGGCAGCGCCCTTGAGTGATAACCCTGAGCAACAGCCTACCTCGTCGTCTGTCGAGGTCGGGGCGCAAATAGAGCTGCTGAACGCTATGACGAGGTGGCACACGGACACGTGGCGCCTCCAGAGGACTGCCACGTGGCCATCCAATGTTCCGACATAACCCCCCCACCCATGAGGAGCGCGTGGGAGAGGGAGAATTGGGAGAGGGAGAAGAAAGGAGGAGGGGGGGGGGTCGTCCAGCTGTCTCCCGCCAAATTCTCCGGCAAGCCATGATGAGTGCGACGCGCGGGAATTTTTTGTTGTTGTCGCCCCACTTTTGAAATCGACGGACGCATGGGATGGATGGAGGGATTAATGAATTGATTGATTAACCCATCAGGCAATTAAATAATCGATCGATCGATCCATCAATCAATCAAGTAAGAGATTGATCAAACAATAGAAAAGTCTGACTGCATTATCTCTGTGACAGCTCCGCAATGCCTTTTAGGTAATTATTATTTTATTATCATCATTAAAATCATGATAATAGTAATAATATAATAATATAATATTACTATTAATAACAACAATGCCGTGGTGACCTCGCCGCGCCTCGTCAGCAGGAACCTGCATTTTAAGATTAAAAAAAAAAAAAAAAACATATTATAATATCTGTGACAGCTCCGCAAGCGCTTTCAGTATTTTATTATCATCATTACAATACACGGTTAATATTACTATTACTATTACTATTAATAGTACTAGACTAATAGTAATAATAATAGTAATAATACCAACTGACCTAGCTCAGTTGCTACACCCTTGCACTGTTGGAAGCAGACGAGTAAAGTACTGCAATTTATTTATTTATTTATCTTTATTATTTATACAAAACCGGAAAGCGGGCCCAGCTTCGCTTACAAGAACAGCAGGCCCGTGTTCCGGGGCCCAAGTCCCACTGGCAGCGTTGAGCTACCTCAACGCCTGAATCTGGACGTGTTTGTGGAGACGTGCAGTTCAGGAAACTCCACACCATTTCTGCACATCTCCAAAAAAACGTCCAGATTCAGGCGTTGAGGTAGCTCAACGCTGCTAGTGGGACTTGGCCCCGGGTCCGGCAACTCCGGCCGGATCCAGACCCCGACTGCAGAAAATGTTCATCCTTAAGTAATCACGACAGCAATACTACAATTCAAAATTACCTAGGCCTGGTCAGTTACAATGATGATATCTCAAGGCCGTCGCTCTTTTTTTTTTTCTTTTTTTTAATATAATGATAATAATAGAACAAATGATAACAATAATGCCGGTGTCTTCGCAGCGCCTGGTCAGCAGTAACCTGCGTTTTTTCAGAATTAGGAAAAAAAAAAAAAAAAAAAAAAAAGGAAGAGAAAGGAAAAGACGTAGAACATGGCCGAGGTATGAGAATCAGAGGACAAAGCAGCTGGGGGGGGGGGGGGGGGGGGGGGGATGGAAGGAAAAATGAGAAAAAGAAACTCCAGGTTAGAACATACACACACCACACAAAGACTACTGAATCTGGCGATAATTGCCGCCCAAATACATTTAAGAAAACGACAAGAGCGTGTGAGTATGCCCCCTTTTACCGAGAAAGATCCCAATCCCCGGATTATTTTTTTTTTTAAAGGAATCCCCGGATTTTGTTCATCTGATTCTCTTTTTTTTTCTTCTTCTTTTGGGTTCATCCGATTCTTTGTTTTCGCTGTTTTTACACCCCCTCCCACCTTCCTCCCCCCTGGCCCGTTAAAGGGGATAAATACTTTTTCTTTTTTCTTTTTTTTTTTGTTCATCCGATTCTTTGTTTTCGCTGTTATTACACCCCTTCCCCCTTCCTTCCCCCTCTTGCCCCCCTTCCGCCCCTTCCCCGTAAAAGGCGATAAATACATTCCCTGGAGTCCAACAAGCTTCAAGTGTTCAATGCATTTTTTCATGGACTGCCTTTGATCCGCAGACGGCCATCGTCGAAATGGATGGGATACCGGTCGGGATCGGGACAGTGTTAAGGCTGAGTAGCCTTGAGTTGGGGACACGTTGTAATCGGATTCATTAGATTGGATTAGATTGGATTAGATTGCATTAGATCGGATTAGATTGCATTAGATCGGATTAGACTGGATAAGATGGGTGTTTGGACTGCATTGAATGGATTGATTGGATTGGGTTGGATTTGAATTGATTGGATAGGATCTTGATTGGATTGCATCGATTGGATGTGGATAGGCTTCGATCGGATTGGACAGGAATTTGATGGGATTGAATTGCAATTGAGTGGATTTGGGGGACAGGATTGATGGGATTGGATTGGATTTGACTGGATCGATTGGTGTCGATAGGATTAAAAGGGGATTGGATTGGATTGGATTGGATTCGATTTGATTGAGATTGGTTGGGTAGGAGGATTTGATCGGATTGAAATCGATCGGATGGGATTAGGATTTTATTAGGCTGGGATTGATTTCGACGGATTGATGGGATTGGATGTGTGATCGGATAGGAATTTCTATAAAATTGGATTTTCGATTGGATTGTGTTTGTGGATTGAATTTGGATTGTCATGATTTGCATCGGATTCGATTGACTGCCCTTCATTTTATTTCCGTTCCCATCACGACAGACTGGATATTTGGTTGGTGCCGCCGCCGGGGTCCTACTAACTAGCACCTTTTTTTTTCTTTTCTTTTCTTTTCTTTTGATCCTTTTTTTATTCGTTCGCATTACGACAGACTGGATTTTTTGGTTGTTGGTCGGATTTCCTCCTTTCCTTTTTTGTTTCGGCAAACTCACTCTGTAATTGATCGGTCGGTCTACCTCCTCGTGGGTCACTCGCCACGATACGTTTTTTTTTTTGTTTTTTTTTTCCTTTTGGGGGGTTGTTTTGTTTTGTTTTGTTTTTTGCAAACTCTGTGACAGATCGGTCCGTCTAGATGCCAAGATAACGACCTTTCCACCACAGCATGAAGATCAGCAAAAGGTCAAACGAAGAGTCTGTCTGACTCAAGTACGTGAACACATAACCACACGTGCGCTGCCATGCACGACGAGATAGCAAACTCCAGACTGACTCGGACGCACAGCATGGCCGCGTAGCGACGGGCATATTCTTGTTGTAAACGTACCAGCCGTTTTTGAATTTTTGCTCTACTATTTTAACAGCAACACAGCGTATCTAAGTCGTAAAAATATTTGTGTTAATAATAAAAATTATAAAATTATCCTTCGGCCTAGCTAGCTTTCAGGTTTGCCGTGGTGATCTTAGTATTTCTATTATTTAACAAACTTGCAAGTCAACCATCAAACAAAATATAAGATATATAACCGAATTATATTTAAAAAAAAAAAAAAAACTCATTTAGAAGTCAATTATCAAACATTGATGGCTGTTTTGATCTATGAACCTCAACCAATTCAATTTAGATACCATAATACAGTATATATCAAATGGATGTAGACGCGTTTCCAGGCCACATACACGTTATTACACCTGTCCACGTCTCAAGCAGGCGGCGGGCGGGCATATACGTGGACAGTGAGCCGCGGCTGAATTCGAGCTCGATGTGTCAATAGCGACCCCGAGAGGTGAGAATCCACGTGGCACCTAGGCTACCAGAGTGGCCCGGGGTCACTTGCCGGGCGGGGCCAAAAAAATATTTTTTAAAAATCTTTTTTATTTTAAATTTCGTGAAGAATTTCGATGTAACCCTGAGGCAAAAGTTGTTCAGTTTATTGTCCTACATAACTTTTTTTTTTTTTTTTTTTTTTTTTTTTTKCTGGGACCTTCCTTGGTCCTTGCACGGGCTGGCCACCCGGGACCCAGGCGGCCCGGCTGGTAGCCTAGCGTGGCACTATAGCAGAGAGAGAGAAGAGGACAACAAACGAGGGGTATATATAATATATATACATATATGACGATATATATATTATATATATATATATTGTCACATGATATATTTATTGTATATATATATTGTCACACTGTGAATCGGAGCGCAAAGGCGGAAAAAAGCAAAACAAGGAAAGGAAAAGGAAGGAAGGAAGGAAAGCCCCACCTGTTCATCACCTCTTACGTACAAGGCCAGCCACGTATCCTTGCAAGACATTCTATCCGCAGAAGATAACGAGGATCTACGGCCAATGTTACATTCTTATTTACTTGTTTTTTTTTTGTTTTTTTTTTAATTATTATTATTCATTATTTTTCTCGCTTAATCTATGCAAGTGGGGCCTCCTCGCCTCGCCCTGGCCGGCTGTCCTTCCAGAATGACCATCGTCGACTTTCCTTGTCTTTTATGCATGGTCTGGATTTCAGAAGGGATAGAAAGTAGAGAGGACGATTTGGATTTACATTGACGCCAACATTCGGGGTCGATTTCCTCCCCCCCCCCCTCCTCTCCTGGGTTCAGACTGTATTGAAATGCATCGGATATGATTAGATTGGGTAGGATGGGATTAGATTCGATTAGATTCGATTACATAGGATTAGACAGGATAAGTTTTTTTTTGACAATTATGAAAAAAAAAAAACGGACAGCTTTCAGGTTGGTCCAGATGGCCAAAGCTTTGTCGAGTTTTTTTTTTTTTTTTTTAATTATGAAAAACTGAACGGAGTGCATATTCGGATCTGAGGATGAGGATGATCATGTTACGTCTGGATGCCACTTCACTTGAATATTAAAAAATATTTTTGTCTGGATGCCACTTCAATATTGAAAAACAAAAAATGTCTGGATCCCACTTCAATATTAAAAATCTTTATCGGACTGGATTAGTTACAGTATTAGGTTGTATGTGGATAAGGCTTTTTTTTTTTCCATCAAAGATTCCCATTCCTTCTGGATAATGCATAATGGATATCATCATGGTATTTAAAATAATAATCATCATCATAATACTTTTTTTTTTTTTT